TCAAAATGGAGCATTATCCTTTAATTTGACTTCCATGTACATTATTAGGATCCTTTTCTGTAACCAAATGATAGTGTGGGCTTTGCTGTGGTGATGTATTACTTACAGTTTATTGAAGCTTGCCTGAGTGTTCAGAATACAAAGCTAGTAACTAGCCATATAGCTAGGCATTGGTGATACACACCTTTAATCCCAGAAGCCATACTATCTAGCCATAGAGCTAGACAGTGGTGGCATACATCCTTAATCCCAACACTGAAGAGACAAGCTGATGGATCTCTGTTAATTCAAGTCCACATTGAGCTACACAAAACTGATACAGTCCTAAATAGAAGCAGCTCACATAAAAGTGATCTCAGCACTGGGGATCACACTAGGGTCCCAGCACTAGGGAGGTATAAAAGGAAGAATCAAAGGCTCTCTTGAAAGAATTAGTTTCCAGTCATGCTGAGGACAGGACAGCCCTTTCGGCCTGAGGTAGAGGGAAGAGCTGGTGGCCAGTTACTTTGCTTTTCTGATCTTCAGCTTGAAGCTTGAACCCCAAAATCTGTCTATGGGCTCTTATTTGTGTTATGCTTTGCTATGAAGTAACCTATCCAAATGTCAGTTCTGCTTAAAGATCCCCAATTAGCTTTTTCTGAGAATTTGAACAACACTTTCAATATGAAATGTAAGTATTCCATAATGTGGTATCATTGTCTTATTTGAAAATGGGGCTGCATCACCTTTATTAATTTCTGTTTGTTTGTTTATGGGTACTTTGCTGTTTGTAAATCTGTGCAATAATCTCATGCCCAATGCCCACACAGTACAGAAGAGGATATCAGATCTTCTGGAATGGGAGTTATAGATAGATTTGAGCCACCATGTTGCAACTAGGAATCACACCCAATCCTCCTTGCTGGAAGAGCTGTCTTAACTACTGAGTCATTGCTCCACTTCAAGAGCCTCACTTTCTTTTCTTCGTTTTTTGTTTTTTTGTTTTTTGTTTTTTTTTTTTTTT